AAGTACAGTCTGAAAATGTTCACAATTGATGACAATCCATGTGCAAAATAGTCGATGAACAGCCTAAGATGCTTTGCTGATATCTTGGGTACAACAACTCATTTACCTTCTTTGTTCTCACACTTTCTTCACTCCCTGGCAAGTTCCAAATTGGAATTAATAACTTTTCAACATATTTTTTGACTATGCAAAGTTATTCAGTTGGCCGGAATCGACATCTATCAAAAAGAAAGGCTTTAGCAAACCGTTTATAGTCATCTTTGTAAGAAGATGTAAAATTATGAAATTCAAAAATAGAACTTACATGTTTTAAACTCAATTTACTGTCCTTTATTTAATTTGTTATGATGTACATACTGTAAATCTGGTGCCGCCACTATAGAGAGAATACAGTTGGAGCCTCATGCGTAGAACCCGGTGCGTTTGTATTACATTTTTTACTGAAATATGTATTTGTTGCCATCTTTGCCATATTTTTATCTGGTGAAAAGTGTACAATCAATCTGTTTCTCAAAACTATCTCATTTTGGGTTAACCAAAGTGTTTTCATTTATGTTCCCTTCTCATTAACCTTCAATGTCTTTGGAAAGGAATAAGCTGATTTACTTGAACATCTAACAGGATTTTGTTGTTTGTGGGTAATTGAAGAAAGATTTATACAAACTAGTGTTTGTCTTGTTGTTTATCTCTAGGTGGATGGATGAGGAAGGGGCTGGGGACAGTGGTGTCAGTGGAGGGGAAGCTCATGTGGACATTCACTGCTCCTCACCTGGGTTACTGGATCGCAGCGCCTTTATCACCCAATAGAGGCAAGTGCTAACACTAACGATCGTAAGCTTATGTAAAGTGTCTCAAGTGTTACTGATACTAGCTGTATGGCAATGTAATGGTAATACATTGTACATAGTTGTGTTAATGTATGAAGTGATCATTTTGACAAACATATTCTATAATCATTTCAAATGGGCCTGGAACATACAAAAGCCTTGAGAGAAGACAAAAACTGCTCAAACCTAAACCTAAATTGTTTTCTCTACTGTTTTATGCCAGGATAATCTTTCAAGTTCATCAAAACTACAGCTCTAAAAAAAATGAAGAGACTACTTCAAAGGTGTCTAAAATCGCAATCTCTACATGTATGGCTTTACATTCCAGTGTCTGTTTAATTCCAACACTGACACAGAGTCAGTAGTTTAGGGAATCAATTAAAAAAAGAATTAATTTTACTCAAACATATACCTATCAATAGTAAAACCAGAGGAACTGATCATTTTGCAGTGGTCTCTTCATTTTTTTCAGAGCTTTATGTTTTTTCTCTTTTTCTTTAATTCATAAACCGGCATTAAAAACATATTTAGGATTATTTTGTTTGGAACAAAAATGACTTGTCATTGCTATAAAAAATTAAATATCTTATTTAATGATCTTTTTGATGGTATTTTTTCCCCCAGCTTTTGGAAAATGACATTTAAGAAACTAAGAAAGATATTTCCTGGCAAACATTTTTTAACCTTTTAAATTCAGAACTCAGTTTTTTTTTGGTTTGGATGGAATACTGAGTTTATTCATTTTTATTTATTATTGCATGTACGTATGTTTTATATTTTTCAGCCAAACTTATTTTTCTGACCATTTTTATGCTTTAGGTTTCTTTGGACTTGCCATCCCCATTGACTTCATCTTAAACCATTCATCTCTCCTGATGGTTGTCCTGGGAGGGATGCTTGTTATTATCATCTGTCTTCTGGTTGGGTTATTATGTAATCGCAGGTAAAAGAAACATTCAACTCATACTCCTCCATGAATACTATCAATTGTGATTTTGATTAGATATAAATATGTAAAACATTTAAAAAAATATCTCACCAGCTCACTGGGAGAGCAAAACATAAATCAAAATATATCTCTATCCTCTAGGTAAGAACATGTGTTTTCATGGTTCTGAATAGTATTGTAGTTTTTAGTAAACACATATTGTAGTTTTGTTGCATATACAAATGTAATTCATGTTAAAATAACAAATTATAGCTTATATTTTATCAATGTAAATTTTACTTAAATAACTTTAAAATTAAGTTGAATTAACTACTAATTTTCCACTTATTAGTTATGTTCACGTCAATGTAAGTGTTACCTATCATGTTCCGTGGTGTACTCCTTTAAAACCCCTTCAATATTAGTCAAATCTATATTTGCCCAATTGAGTGAACATTTTTATATTTGTACTGTGTAATCATGTAGAGTTTATGGATAATGTTCTTACTATCATTTGCCTGGCACTGAATAAGACTCAACACATTTGTTATTGTCTGCAGACGTTCGCTCAGTGAACCTAAAACCAAGAAGATTCTACCAGCAGTGAGAAGAGACAAAACCACCTCCACATGTGATGATGAATTCTTTGAAGAAGCTTCACTAGACTCCTCTCATCCACAGAATGGACTGAACCAAACCATTACAGGGAGGGGGGATAATCAGCACAATGTCATAGCCAATCCCAATGCCGTGGCCATTCGGGTTGAGTGTGACGGAGTGGAGCTTAACCCTGACCTGAACGATCTGATGTGTCTGCATGACCCTACGGATCAGATCAGGGCTCCCGTCTCTCTGGCTGAGAATTTGTTCTTCTACAACCAGCCCATTGCCATTCTTCACGCCCCGGCATTCTTCCATTTGGGGGAACAGGCCCAGTGGAGCAAGTCGGCCGCTTCAGATCCTCTGAGTAAAGACGAGTTCTCCCAGGTCCCGGCAAAAGGTTCCTCTGCTACCCAGAACCAGGAAGTGGAAACTGAGGACCAGTCCGATGTTCTAGAGGAGGCATCAACTTCCTCCAACACATCCAGCGGTCACTTCAGCCTCACGGAGTCAGCGTCGGTCCCAGGAACGTTGAATAAAATCCGGGGCAGCAGACACTCCGTGCCCGCCTTGGGAGAGCTTTCTAAAATCCCATCGGCGCAGTCTCCAAGGGCCTGGTTTGTATCGATGGAGGGCAAACCTGCAGCTGAGATCCATTACGCAGTGTCTGATCAGCAGAGGAGACGGGGGCCGGCCGACAGTCGAGAAACCAGCTTAGACTCAGGAGTGGACATGAGCGAACTGAACCAGCCGTCTGGAAGGAGGGCTGTACCACTGCAGCGTAAAAACACTTTTATCAAAAGCTCATCCAGCAGTACACAAGGACCACCACAGTAGAAACAGCTTTCTAAGTTCATACAAACAGCCATGGCATGTCATTTATTTAACTCATTGCTAATTGTTTTACATTAAAGGTGCAATGTGTGAGATATTCACATTGCAGAAGTATCATTTAAAACATTAAAACAATTAACAAACATCATCAGAAAGTGAAGAGATAACAATATTGATATTGTGTCAAAGACGTCTATGTTTTGAGTTGCAGATATTTCTAATGAAATTAGCATGCTTTGGTGGGAAAAACAAGAGTTTGCCACTTTTGACATTGTTTTATACAGATTCATGTTTTCCAAATATTTGTATATCTCCCAGGGTTACCGCATGCTCTGTTCCCTTGCAGATTGGTCTCCAGGTGGCAAGAGGACAGGCGAATGTGCGGGTCAATCTTGGAATGTGCGGCTTGTTTCTTGGTTTATTCTAATGACCGAACTATCAGGGCGTACATGAACAAAGCGTATAGGTCGATGCCACACATGAAGACTATAAGATAGTTGTGTTATCTTGACCGGCTCTGACAGTAAGGTTTTTAAATTACTGATCAATTTAGATTATATGGACCCATAGGACAGGTGAAATACTGGCACCTATATATGTGGGGCATGGCAAGGTGCCGATCCAGATTTAGGGTTAGAGGCCCATCAGATTCCACACAGTCTGTGCGTGGAAGCTGTTGCACATGTACACAATTGTAAAATGTCTTTAACCAGTAACATACTCCATTTTGCAAAGTGTCAGTGATCATTTCCTACCGATGAGTTACATATTACTCTATGTATCTGCCTACAACGGGACAGAGACACCATGTGATTGAGATTAATGAGGTCAGAATAACAGACGGACTACCATGGCTAACTGAACACGATTGAACTCTTGTTATTTGAACAATGTTCTTTAATTTGTATTTGATTTGCATATTTGTTTATGAATGTTTTTTGTGTACATCATCATGAAGTGAATCATTTCATTATATTTTAATAAAATAAAACTGACCTTGGTGACAAGTGTTTTTATTTGTTTACTTTAAAAAATACAGTGTGAAACTATGTTTTGTTACTTATAATATATCGCAATAGCCAGATATGAGTTAATGTATGTTTGAGATCCGCATTATTTCGCTTATTGTTTTTATGACACATTTAACAACCTTAAGACCTGAAATGGAGATCATTCAGAAACTATAAGACTTCAATAAAGTTGAAAACATATTAGATTATAAACTTTACACAAACAGTGTCCCGTTACAACCGTAGTAAGGTCTCAAAAATATAACATCATTTTCTGTCACGCGGTGTAGTGCTACCAAATCACATCACACAAATAATGGCAATATGTTTTTTATACTACAACATTTATTTTGAAGGAATATGCTCCTGGATAATTATGGTGAAGTTTTATTGCAAACAATATTAAATAACTGCACATTCTTACAGTTTAGGGCACCTGACCCAACATAATCTCACAAGAAATGGTCTCTTGCTAGTTTGGTAAAAGTATGCTTTTGAATAATCTTGGAGAATTGTTATTATTATATTCAATAACTTCATAGTGCTACTAGAATCACTTCATACAATAATGGTCTTCTGTCCTACTATTATATGTTTGAAGGAATATGTTTTGTATTAATATGAAGATTTTTGTATGTAGTTATTGAGCCGTCATTTCCTCACCGTATAATTATTTCTAATAAACTTACCATAATTGATAAACTACTTTAGCAGATGTTCACATCAGAGCAGCATGACGCCTTCTTACAGTATGCACGGCGCATTATGGGCTGTTTGCCCAAACTGAGAGAATGAGGAAGTGCTTTCTCTGATGCCAGTGTGGTAATCCGAGGGAAAACAAGACTTTTTGTTTCTACGTGGCAAACTTTTCTTTAGAATCATTTTGATTCCTGCATGGTTTTTTGTGCGATAATCCACGCTAATAAAGGTAAGTTATGTGCGCGATTTGTTCAGTAACGTTTTGGTAAAGTACAGTTACGCTATAGTATTGTGTAAAAACAAAGACAAGTTTGCTTTCGGTTCTTGTTTTTTATCAACAGGAGCGGAACACAAAATCCACATTTACCCTATAATCGACCAACGTGCACACTAAAATAAATACTATGAAACAACCTTAAAGTGTTGACTTCCGATTTGTTCCAAAATACTTTACCATGTAAACGTTAATAGTTTCTTAAAGATCATATTAATTTAACGCAAACAAATGAAAGACACATTAAGGTGTTGGTTATTTTCAGAGGTGGAAGAGGTACTCAGGTTATTAAGTAAAATGAACAAATGGAGCCTACAGTCAAAAATATTGTACTCAAAAAATTATAACACCAACGTGGTTAGGGCACGAGGTAAGAACATTCTTTTTATAATCTTCAACTACACAATTTGAGGCAATGTAATTAAACATTTGTTATATTTTTTGGACATTACATCTTTTTTGTAAAGTAAGAATTTTCCCAGGCACATAACATTTGCGTTGTAATTGTGTAATTATAAAATGGTATTGTTAGTATTGTTATTGTGTGAAACCAAAAGCTTTTTAATTTGTGGTATGATACATTTTTCAGTCATTTTCACTGAAGGTTATTTGTGTTGTATTAATATATTGACCCCAATTTTTACAACAAACATCCACACTTCTTGATTGCATTTGTGTGTCACCACAAATGTAAAACAAAATGGCCATGGTCTCAATATGATAACATTTTAAAATCATTTTTACATATTGTCTTTTGAATGTTGTTTATAGAAAATGATGATCACCAGACACCACAGGCAATTATATCACACCATTTGGCTAATGCTTTGCTCTTGTTTGATACTTTAAGTATTTGTGAAACTGCCATAACCCCGAATATAATGTCTCTCTCGTTGCAGATAATGGACAAACTGGAGTCCGTGAAGGCAAGACTCTGTAAGTGGCTTTCAAAGGACCCTGATTTTATCCTCACCAAGTGTGGGAATATTTTACTCATGAACGAGTCTCTGGAGGTACAAAAGCGAAGCAATGCATTAGAAAAGATGGAAGTGCTTTTGAGTACAATAATAAAAAAGGGAGACGATACCTGTCAAACCTTCTTAGACATCCTGGAGGAGAATCAAGCGCACTACCAGCAACTGAAGCAGCTTTTCAACCCTGCACCTCAAAGTAAGGCCTCTAAAGTTCCTGTGTACAGCTCTGTATATACTTATAACCTCAACATGCAGCTGACATATGCTTTTTATTAACATATACAGAGTCAGCTGCACCAACTGTGCACGCTGACAGTTGCAGTGTTGTTACCATGAGAGAGATAACAGATGTAAAATCAGAAACCCTCAACGTGGAGATTAAAACGGAGATGGATCCACAGAGTTGGACAACTGGTAAGCTTATATATTTCTAATACAGGATGAAATCACATACTTTGAAAAATTCAGATTCCATCATTTACAAAACAATTTTGGTTTGGGCCTTATTCTAAACACATTAAATAAGAGATCGCAACATTTTACGCAACTTCAAGGACATTCAAGTAGTTTATTTTGGCAACCCTTGTGGACAATATCGGTAGCCCCCCATGCAAATTCATATAAAACAATATCTTGCAATTTATTTACAAAGAATTAGAGCCCAGCTCTATCACTGTCCCTTTATTTACACAAGATTTCACACAAAATAAAAAATAAAAAAATAAATAAAACACAAAGTATCTATAAGGTAACTGTTACATGATGATGGTGAAACAAACTCAACCTTGATTTAGCCACTCGTGTTTATTCACGTATTGACGACAAACCAGGTCAATAGACAATTCAGGATTATTTTTGGATTCTTTCCAATTCTATTTATCTTGATGCTACTCCAGTTTAATGACAATTTGGATGTTTCAATGTCCTAGATTCTGGTTGCCATTATTTTAGGTTTAAAGTGATCATACTGTACACAGACACATAACAGATTCATTTTCTGGTCGTTGGATGCAGTTTAGTTTGCTGTTTATTGAAGATCTGTACAATACCAATGTTGTGGTGAGTTGGTGAATGAGTTCTCTGTGAGCATCTGGCAAGATAAATATAAACAAAATAAATTGACATGCCAACAATACACATACATGGATCCTACATCCAGTATCAGCCATAACCACATCATTTAATGTCAAATAACTATTCTATTCCTGACACCTCTTCCTGCTTCCATCTACGCCATAAATCATTTTGTCTGATTTTGTGAGAAATCCTGGGACAGGCATTCAGAATTACTTTATGAAACAACCTCTTTGCCTATAGTCTTGTTTGCTTTTGTGAGTCATATAAATGCATCAGTATTTTATTACATAACCCGTTAGACTCCTTGTAGTCATTTGAAATGATTGATGTTTTTTTCTTATTTCAGGAGCTGCTGTTGGACCAGTTCCCCAAAGAGATTACACTGCTCTTAATGGCAGTGTAATCTGTGCTGACAAAATATCTGGTGTCAATTGTGATGTTCTAAACTTTTCAGTGTCTGTGAAATCAGTGAATACAAGTAAGATTTAAACAACTTGCGTTACATATTTGTTCTGTATAAATGTTCTATCTGGACATTTTAGTCAATCCTAACTCTGCTTTCTTATCAGATAGACAAGACACTGCCACCCCATCAGTAGACGAGACACTGCCATCCCATCAGGTACAGCACATACACACAATTGTAGAAACCATTAGACTATAAAATAGTTTGTTTTGTTTTTTGGGGAGTTTTTGTCATTACCAAGAATGGGATAAACTCAAAGGTGACCTTTTTATGCCTCTGCTGTTTAAGATAATAATTAACAGGGGTAGTAGCAAGTGAACATCGACAAACTAGCTCTCTTTTTTAAAAATTATTCACAAGTTTGACTAAAATGCTCATTGCATGTTATATCGAATCAAACATCAAATTGTGTTAAAGACAATGCACATGTTACTAACATGACAAACAAATGATAATAACGAACATGTCTAGACAGCTAGCTAACAGCGTCAATCGTCACTTCTGATGAGGACACATCCGCAGTGTGCAATTTCAGACAATATAAGCTGTTCGAAATTCATAAACTGCATAAATGTTTACAATGCAAACATGTATTTTTACGAAGATAATTGTCAAAATCTATACAGCCACTGCTTCCAGTTTGTGTGTTTAGCTAAGCTAATTGTCGGGCGGCTCTATTTACATCTTTATCGGACCATTTTGAGGCTCCAGATGTACAGTATGTGAAAAGTTTTTGGTCAAAAGTGTCAGTCGTAAAAAAAATTTTTTATATCCTAAATAAAATCATATCAGGTAGAGCTTACATCACAAAGTTGGGTGTTAAAGTGGACAAAACCATTGTCCTCACCATATTACAAGTTCAACTTTTGTTAAATATTGATGATCAATTCTGCTTTCTGTTCCAGGGCCCGGCTACCAAAATGATTATTTCTAACAAGTTGAGACTCATTGCCTGCCTGAGTGCGGATCCATCCTTCATTTTGCAGAATTTGCAACAAAAGAAAATTCTCTCAAATAGACAATATGGGAATTTGAAAGATCTCTCACAGCGAGAGGAAACCGTCATAAAGCTCATCGACCAAGTGATTAGCAATGGTGAAAAGTCCTGCTCTCTTTTTCTTGAAGTTCTCAAACAGCCTGATATTCTTGAGACTTATCCGAATCTCAACGAAATCAAATGGTGATTAGCAGAAGTGGAAACAATGTATTAACAGTTAAGGTGAACAAGACATGGGTGATATGATGTTATCTTGTCTTGTATATTTCGTTGTTAACTGTTATTTTTTGTGATGAAAAGTACATATTTGAAATACATCCTTTTCACATAGTAAGGATAACACCCAATACTGTTTGCATTTTAGGGGTTTTAGCTTACAATTGGAAAAGGTTTTGGTATTTGAAATGTCCCCTATTATACTATTTTTCAACAATATTGTATAGATCCTTAGATATAATAATAATAATATTGGGAGGGATGAAACCCTCTTTAATGGTCACACATGCAGAGCACACAGTGACATTTGTTCTCTGCTTTTAACCCATCCTAGTACCTGGAGTCTAGTACTAGGAGCAGTGGGCAGCTATTGTATTTGTATATATACAAAACATGTCTCTGAAGTGTTTTGTTCAAAATCCCTAAGAGATCATGCATTGTAGCATGCCATACACCCATCAGAATCAGCCATTTATTTTTGCTTTAGGAGGAGATTCATGTGATAAGGTGGGCGGTTGTTACCATGGTTGGTTATTGGCCAGTGGATGCACGACCCAAAAAACTAATCATGGCATCATAAAGTGGCCAAAATCGGATTGTATTTATGTATAATATACATGAAAAAGTGAATACGGCATAATTGGTGACCCTTAAGGTAAAATCACTATTTGCAATAGCTTCCTGATGAGGAGCCAATAGCTGTCATTCACACTGGGGATCCTGGGGATATTTAAATGTGTGTGTATATTAAACCTGATAAAAAAGCTTGCACCAATATCTGTCATCTGTCATTAGGAGAAAACAAATTAAAAAGGAAATGTAGATACTGGATATTCCTGAATAAATTGACTAGTAATATCTATTATGAGCCACTAGAGGTCACAATTGTTAAGGATTTGTTGTTGTTATCATTTGTTTGTCATGTTAGTAAAATGTGCATTGTGTTTAACACAATTTGATTCAAACATGCAATGAGCATTTGAGTCACTTGTGAATAATTTTAAAAACTAACAATCTAAGAAATATTTACCTAACTTTTACTTAAGTAAACCTAGTAGTAAGCTAGAGTGTAGTTTAAAAATATAAAGAAAGAAATGAACTAACAAATCCTCCATGGAAACCTTTTACTGAAGTAATATACAAATGATATATATATATATATATAATATACATTTTAGCATCTTAAAAATATGTAATTTCTGAAAGTAATAATACTTGTTATCCACAATTGACCATTTAAGAATATAACATATCATATTATTGGATTATATTTATTGATCCATCAATGTATCAGCGTCAGCGTTTTTTATATGAGTTTATTTGATGCACTTTGTATGACCTTGAGCAGACACAGGAAGCAGCACGCTTTTGGTCTCTGTTGACAAGACGGCAACAAAAACAAAACACTTCACAACTTTGATTCTTTATTCCAGTTTGACAACGAGGGGTTACGTATGGTAACCCTTTTCATATCTCTCACAGGCTACGTCCTCTACTGGACTCTATGGGTACTACCTTATTATGCACGCATTCACCTACTGAGACTTCTATATACGCAGCCGGCCCCGGGGCGGGCCTACCTGAATGCGCGCGCATCTCACCATATAAAAGGAGGCCTTGCCTCATGACCGTCATCCTACACCTCTCTTCAGTGAGCGGTATAGGACAGACAGTGCACGGAGTAGAGGGCTCCGCCTGTGCTTATATAACGAGGGTTACCATATGTAACCCCTCGTTATATCTCTCACAGGCTCCGCCTTCTACTGGACTCTATGGGTACAGTGGGCGGAGCCCCGATGTATACACGCATTGTCGTCCAACAACACCGTTTCACCTCACTGTCCCTGACCAGCTTTCTGGTTAGCAGCCGCTGCGCCTCACTTACCTCTCCCTTGGTTGTAACCGTGGAGAAGTCCGGGCTGCGGCTGACAGAGCAAACCCTGACGTGCTTACCTCACGAAAAGTGTGCTCGGAAACAGTGCTGAGGGCTCCCCCCATCCGCCCATAGGCAGACAGAGAAAGTCCCCAGCCCTTATTCTTTTTTAAAACGTTTCAGAAGCACGATTGTTGTTCATATGTTCAGGGTCGTCCAATCCTACTGTGTTCACTGACAGTACCAGTGTTGTTATCAGCAGAGAGATAACAGATCCAAAAGTAAATTCCATCTCCTTAAAGATTGAAACAGTGAGTGATCCAGGAAGACGTAAGACTGGTAAGAGTGGGTTTTCTCAAGCAATCAATCTAGTATGAAGTCATGAAATTAACTCAGGGGTTGTAAGAGTAAAAATTCCTGAATACCAATGACCCAACTCTTAAAAACCTCATTCATTTAGGATGAATTAACAAAACCGGCTTCTTTTACAGGGCCCTGAAATTATGGGAACTCATTGACTTACCGAAACACATGAATTATATCAACTTATCTTGACCGTCTATTTTAATTTGACTAAAATATCAAACAACTTTTTTTTAAATCCAGCCTCTTCATTTTTTAGTAACATTCTGAAAGGATCATACCTATTAATGTCAGAATCAACATTTGTCAAGTGTAATCTTATAAACATTAGTTTCCTATTTATCATTTTTTGAAATATTATCTGTTATTGGGAGACATTAGTACAATATTGTTTTGTTAGTAAAAGATTTATTTGGGCAACCAGTGCTTTTATTAAAGTGCCAGTTTTGAAAGCGGGAAAAAGAGGGGATGTCACGCAGCGAATAGTCCCAGGTCGGATTCAAACCCAGGTCCTCCACATGGGGACCGAGCCCCAGTTCATGGACCAACAACTCTACCAACTGATCCACAAGGGTCCATACACATTGATACATTCTGACTGAAGTCTACTACATGAATTAACTAATAATGCACATGTTGTAGTGTTAATGTTGTAATGCAGACTGCTGCACTTCATCTTTTAAGCCACTAGAGGTCACCATTGTTAAGGTTTTTTTTTTGAATTAATGGGTTTGTCATGTTACAGTTTTTCTCGATTGCTAACACACAAAAATTATACATAAAGCACAATTATTTTAACTGACACTCAAAGAGCAAAACATCGGCTAAAATCTCCAAAACTCTAAACACGTTTTTAGCTTTTCACACAATTTGCAAATCAACATGGCACTTTTTGCAAAGCTCTGCACACGTTTCTCCACGTAAGACACAGGAATCTGACATAAAGTCACGTGTTAGCTGGTTTAAAACACTGATATTCAAAATGCCTCATACATGGACCAATAATGAAGAAACACATTCCACCTGACCAAACACCTGATAGCATAATTGTTGCCTCATCAATCAGGATGTTAGCACTATAAAAAGACCACAGGTGAGTACTTTCTTACAGCAACAATGGAAGCCAACATGGAAGCAAGAGCAAGAGGAAGAGGAAGAGCTGGGCCGAGAGTGAGAGGAGGAGGAAGAGGTGGGTGAAAGTGAGAGGAGGAAGAATGAGAGGTAGAGGTAGAGCTGGAGGGAGAGGACGTGGATAAAGAAGAATACTCTACTACTACTACTACTACTACTACTACTACTACTACTACTACTACTACTAATGAAATCCACTTTGATTGACCATCAACCATGGTTTGACGATGAGAGAGGCTGGACAGAAGGTTCAGCCTAATATTTGTTTAGTCTCTAAGTCTTTATTTCTATCTACTCTATTTGACAGAAGCATCATTTTTGTTATTAGCAGGAGAAATTAGGTGTTTTGCACTTTGGGTGTGTGGTTTTGTGAATTGTGTTCTGAGAAACTGAGCAATTAAAAAAAAAATTATGTTAGCAATCGAGAAAAAACGTATTTAATTTGCAATGTATTTCAGACAAAATACTTATAATTCAAGCACTGCAACGACAATCTGAGTTAAATTATTATTCAACATTATAATATTTCTCACTTACCTCGCATTTTAAGTATTAAAGTGACGTTTTTATATGTACAAAAGTGGTGGGGCACAAACAACTTAGATGTGTGTATATAAGCTTCTGATGCTTTTTTTAAACACGTAAACAAATAGCTGTAGGCTATCCATGGTTCCGTATAGAGAGAGGGGGGAGGAAAACACAGACACTCATCACCGAGTTCACAATATCAATCGATCCAGCAGAACAATAGCCGATATGCAAAACACAGAAGATCAACAAAAGATATGACATAAAAGGAACTTACCAAAGCTGAAGTATGGTCAACTTCATTCATTTTCTTTCCGTTTTACTGATTGTAATAGCTATAGGCCTACGCTGCTCTCTCTCGTCTCCTCTTCACAACTACACTTTTCGTGTCACACGTACTTACAGCCAATCAGCTCTCTGAATTATGAGATGAAGTTTGGTGGGTATGCCAGTACAGTGCCGCTATGGTGATTATTCTTTTGCCGCACACATTGAATAGAAAAATACTCTGAGGATGCGCAGTGTAGTTTTTACAGCAACCATTCATTTTGACAGCAGAGAGGGGCTTTCCCCACATCACTCAACACGGCTCAATATGCACACTGTAGACACTAATTGGAAGAACACAGACTAAAACAGCAATGTACAGACGAATCAGATGACTAAACATGATCTTAAAATATATTTTAACGTATATTGTTTTAAATTAAATAACGACTTCTCCAACCTTATACTTTTCCACCTGTGCAGCCCATGTATGGATTACATCCGATAGCTGCTATAATAAAAAACAAAACGTCTGCCTGCTCTCCACAATGATCAATAACAGCGAACGGATGGTCAAAGTAAGGTGCAAATAAACTGAATCACACGAAGCCTGGTTAGTGTTGCCTGACTTTATAAAGTGTGTTTTTTTTTATAAGTGTGGGTTGCCTTCTAGTCACTTTGCTCAGCGCGACTGTTTGTAGGCAGGCATAACGAGACTCTTCAGTCGACCCATGTTCAGGGGAGGTTGGTTTAGTTTCCTGAACACCTCGACGTAAGAGAGACGTAAGCGACGCCGCCTCTTAGCTCCGAAGCTCTTGCTTCTAGACCGACAATTTTTTGGAGCTGGAAGTGAACCGGATTCCGGAGCTAAGAGGCGGCGCCTCCGCGGTGTGAACAGGAAAAACCGGTACTTTTCAGGCTCCAGCTCTGAGCCGGAGCTGAAAACGCGTTGGTGGGAAAGGGCCGGGGCATCTTTGGTTTGCAGCAACACATGTCAGGAACATTTGGCATATTTCATTTAATCAGTAATAAAGCTGACTCGACTTGATCCCAGATCAGGGTAGGATTTACCCAATGAGAGCATCCAGACCCTGACGGTTCATTTTATTCCCTTTGAAAGAACATTCGTCGTTGGATCACATCCAACTGCTTCTTCTCCAGAGATACTGACAGGTGAACCTGAATATGTTTGACTCTCTCTCAGTAACACCCTGCCTTGGATGGAGGCCTTGGGTTTCTGGCTTTGGACCAAGGATCTCTGGATGTGTGGAGTAAGAGTTCAGAGGAAAGGTAGCTGGAGGATTCGTTTGGAATGGAAACAGTTTGACGCACTTGGTAGATCATAAAACGGCAGCAGGATTAGCGCTGGCCCGTTGGGAACAGCCAATGACAAACACTCTTACACCTCATGTGAACCGTGCCCCTGCCTCACTGCTATATATTTCCTCTGGTGTTTTATTTGATCTTACCTCTTTTGACGCAATAAGCTTTTTTCATCTTGAAATGTTGCAGCCAAGAGATTTACATTTATTAACTGTGGAAATCATGATAAAACTTCTCCACCCATCTAGCATTGTTCATATACTTTAAACAGTTTTTTTATACAAAGAATCAAAATCGCACTATAAAATCCAAACCTGAGATACTGCAAATCCAGATATTGCTTGTTGTATTCCATGAATCCATATTCTTTATTA